GGGCTGTATTTGGGAAGGCAGCACCTAGAGACAGAGGAAAAGCTCAGCTGTCAGGTATATGAAAGTATTGAAGGGATGTCCTCTCCCTTCCCACGAGTTCCACCTTCTCCCTTTCCATTTCCCCCATTCAGCAACTCCTGCCAATGGGATGGTTAGCAACAAGCTGAGAACTCCAGAAAAACAGAGATGGTCAGAACTCCTGGGTCATGTTTGCCTATCTATGCATTTCTATATAAACTTTATTTCCCCCTTATAAAAATAAACATGCTCGTTGTAGATAGATATTCTTCTTAATGTATTTGCATTTTTTCTACTTTTATTTTTTTTTGGTTTTTCAGTTACAGTTGACATTCAATATTATATTAGTTTCAGGTATACAGCGTAATGGTTAGACATTTATGTAATTTATGAAGTGATCCCCTGATTAGTCTAGTACCCACCTGGCACTATATATAGTTAAAGTAACATTATCGACTATGTTTTTTAAGCTGTATTTTACATCCTAGTGACTATTTTGTAACTACCAGTTTGTACTTCTTAATCCCTTCACCTTTTCACCTAACCCCCCAACCCCTGTCCCATCTGGCAACCATCAGTTTGTTGTCTGTATCTATGAGTCTGTTTCTGTTTTGTTGTTGTTGTTGTTGTTGTTTATATTCCACATATAAGTGAGATCATATGCTATTTGTCTTTCTCGATCTGACTTATTTCACTTAGCATAATGCCTTCTAGGTCCATCCATGTTGTTGCAAATCTGATTCAATAAAGAATTTGAAGCCGCTAAAGACACCCCAAAAAAGATTAAAAAAAATAACTGGTGGGATTGGTGCCTACATAATAAAGGACAAGAACTTAGTAAAGCCAGGGCTGGGAGGTGATGGTATGGCAGGAGGATAGGAAGTGTGAATTCTACGAGTTAGTACAATTGCTAAATTGCCCACAAATTTGACTCCACATTACCTAGCAGGCCAAGCAAAAGGGGATATATTAGTTACAATAAGATAAAATGCTACCCATGAAAGACCCAGCTTCTCTTGCTACCAAGTTCTGGGGCCTAATTCTCCCAAAGGTCCAAATGCTCGTTATAAAGAAATTCCAGACCTCATTGGAATTGACTATCACATACACGTGTGTGGCTGTGGTTACAGGAAACAGGAGAAGCCTAGAGCATCCTTCCCCGGGGAGGAGACGGTCCTTCCCTCCTGGTTAGCTCTGCAGGCTGGGTGGATCCAGGTTTTGTGAGACACGAAGTATATGCAGTTTCAGAGGATTTTTTTAAAGGAAAGAACATGAAGTTGCGAATATAAAATCAAGCATGAGAGTGAATATTTATTTACTGGGAATATAAATCATAAAACAAATCATTAAAAATATATGAAAAAGCTGACAAATACAACAAAATCTCTCTCTCTCTCTCTCTCTCTCTCTCTCTCTCTCTCTCTCTCACACACACACACACACACACACACACACACACACACACTCACTGCCTGGCACACAGTTCTATAATGCTTTTTCCCCTATCTTTTTTTGTGTGCTGTTTAATCCTCTGTTCACATGATGATATTTTTGAATTTCATGCTCTATAGTGAAAAAATAGAAAGATAATTAAATCTTTCCTTCGGTATGGTTGATTATAGCTTTTTATTAGTATTTGTTTAGAGAAGCTGTATTCAGCCTCTCATCATTGTTAAGGTCTTGCAAATTTAAGATTATTGTCAAATTTGGGTTTTCATTTATGAGTTGTGAGATTTGGAAGATTTTCCGTGGCTTCTTACTTGGTTTATTTCAAATCTTTTTTCTTTTCCACTGCCATGTGCTTCCAGTGCCAGGGGCTGCATGACACACTTGCATATTACCATGACACAACCTCACCTGTGCACCCTAGTGGCTAGAGGTCTGGTGAGTTGGCACATAGGGTGGTTAAAAGAAACCCTGGATTGCCACCCTGGGATAACTGGCAGCAAGTTCACTGTGAACAGAAGTGTTGTTAGACCATGGAAATGTATGCCACTAAATTCAAACCAAACATACCAAAACTTAGTTTTCCCAAATCTCTACTAGCTGCCCCCACAGCAGTGGATGTAAGGGAAAGTATGGCTAAAGGGAGTTGGAGTGGAACAGCAGCCGTAATTGATTTCAGTTAAGTATCTTCTTTCGCCAGTTTTACAAACTCAAAGGGGCATGGGAGCCATAGCTGGAGCCCCTCCTGAGCAATTGGTGAGGCCAGAGCAACAGAGGGGTCCTGAGGCCTAAGTAATTTTCTTTATTAAATCTCTGTCTATGTGCAGAGCTCCATGGGGTAGCCAGGATCTCTTCCCATGCCTTCTGGGGGCTTTAACATGGGATTTGGAGGCAGATACCAGGTCCCATTTTATTGCAGTGTGACTTGGGCTAGTGATTTAATGTCTCTGAGCCTCAGTTTCATTAGTTTGAAAATTGAGACAATCAGAATAATATAAATATATGGGATTGTTCTGAGGATTAAATGAGATATACATCAATTGCTTTATGCAGCACTTGGAACATCAGGAGCTCTAAATAAATACCAGGTATAAAGACATACTCGGCATCCTGAAAGAGACCATCCAACCACTTGCTTTGTCCTCACTGGGGCCAAGAAAAATTGGTGCTGCATTCATGCCATACAGTCCAACAACCCTTCATATTTTAGAATCATAAAGGTCTTGCCTTCAGACAAGTTGAGTTTTGAATTTAGTGATCCTGATTTTTATTTTCAGATTTCCTCTTCTCTTTTTCTTGAACCATGCTTGGGTCCACACTCTGGCTACCGTTCAACATTAACCAGAAGTGTAAGCTCAAATGAAAGCAAATTCTAGCTGCCTTCTTTGAGTGGAGTGACGGTACAGACCTTGGGTAGGTGGGAAGGACTCATGGGAGGACACAGATTCACTAACTCAGTCAGAGTAGATTCAGGAATAAAATCCACATGCGCATTCAAGGGTTCTGGACAACCCTGTGGCATGGGCTGGGCATTCCTCTGCCTCTCTCATGTCCTGGGCTCTATTTAGTTCTGGACCATACAGTGCCTGTAGACCACCTGAAGTGGCCCAGGTGACTGAGTTTCTCCACACCAAGAAGGCTGACTCTTAGGGGACTCGGGAAGGCTTTGTCACCTGGACCTGCTCTAGCTGTCCATGCAGGGTCTCACTGAGGGCTTGTGAATGCTGCCCAAAAGTGCCAGGTGGGCCCTGCTGTGGGTTCATTTGCCAGGTGTACCCTTCCTAATTGTCCTGGGGACTCTGCATCCCTTTTAGAACTGTCACCTGCAGCAAAGTGCCCAGCAATGTAGAAAGACACTGTACCTCTCTGACTGTTCAGCGCAGCTGCCCCTTGTTCTGGGAAGGATTTATTGAGCATTTTGGATCACCATATCAGGGTCTCATCAGCCTTTTCCTGAATAAACTGGATTTCTGCAGGCAGAAAACATATTTATTGAAGTTTTATTAAGAACCAACGTGAAAGCATCCAGCTGTCTCTAGAGGTCTTCTCTGTGGCCTTCTCTGTAATTTATGTATTATTTAATCTCCAAATGCAGCCTTATTGAGACTTTGCCAGATTTTCCTCAGCTGCCTCCCCACACAGAGATAAAATTATTCCCCGAGCATCTTAGATCATGAAATGGTACCTTTTGGAAATGAAAAGATAATACTGTTTCTGTATGAGCATGAGAGAATTACTTTACTTGTCTGTAGTAACACTGATTAAATTGAAATGTCAGAGCTAATGTTACAGTTAATAAATGTTATACATATTCAGATCTGTCTAAATACTCAAAATTCCAACTAATGCAGAGGATGCTGTCTAAAACTGCAGGAATTTCCAAATCTTCTTGCGAATGCTATTTGTGTTATCCATTTTCAGTGACGAAGGTAAAATGTGTATTATAAATGAGACCCATGATAGTAATGTCTGCGGGTAATGTTTTGTCACTTGGAGTTTTTTTAACCAGATAAATTGGTGCTGCTATGAGAAATTGACCTAGCATTTGGGAAATGTTTTATGAACTAAGTTGCATTATGTAAGTCAGAGGTGTTGGGGTAGGGGTGTGTTGTCAGGGTGTGATGGGAACATTGAGTGTCAGACATCAGTATGCCGGGACCCTTCAGTGGGGAGGGGGCAGATGGTTCGCCCCTCTTAGAGCCTCACAAAGAAGTTTTATCATTGCACCTTCTCTTCATAAGAGAAAATGTGCCTAAAAGCTGCTATCTCCATGGGCAGATGGTGACGGCATCCTTTGTTTCAAGGAGCAGAGCACAGAACACGAGGGGACAGGAACACAGAGGAATGGGGATTAGGGCTGCAGTATGGGCAGCCGGCTCAGGGTCACTGACAATGGGGACCAAAACTCCAGTGCCCCCTTCCTGTCTTCCTGAAAGTCAAGTCTCAGTTTCTGAAGAAGGTTGGCACCTCTTCCCCTGGCCTCAGGTCTTTGCTGGTTTGCTGTCCACCTCCCCAGATGCTCTGTGTTCTACTGTGGTTTCCCTGTTTTCAGAGGAAGTATGAGATTTCTAACCTCATCGGTATAGTTGCAATTCTAGCCCTACCCCATGTTAGGTGTGTGGCTTTAGGTTAGGTTTTAAGGCTGAGGCTGCTCAGAGGCCTCATCTGTTAAAGGGGGTGGCGGGAATGGGGGCTGGACATAGCTGTCTGCTGGGATCATCTGCTTAATCTGGGAGCTAAAGTATATCGGGCACCTGGGACACCACATGTTGCACAGCAGGCACTCAGTCCTCCCACATGCTCCAACCTGACTGTCCTGCATTTTTACAGCTTTAAGACTGGGGGTTCACATTTCCTCCCCACTACCCTCCCTCTGTCCTGGCAAAGCCCAGGCACTATTTGGGTTTTTGGCCAGCAGGAAAGGAGCAGGCAGTGCGTTCTCTCTCTTCCTTGCACGTGAACTATTCCAGGGCTTGGCTAGGAAGGAGGGAGCCGATTGCGGCAGAGTCCCTGCATGCGGGCAGTCTGGGAGTGACTCGCTGAGTCTGGCTCTACAGTGGAATGTTCGTGACAGCACAGCTGGCAGCCGCAGACAGGTAGCCCAGCACCCTAGGAGAATTCTAATTCAGTGGGATTTTACCAGCAAATGACTGTAACAAAGAAAGGATATATTAAAGTGTGCATGAGAGATTGTGGTTATTATGAATTACATTCTTTGAAATCTCATTTAGACCCAGGAAACAGACTGTGTTTGGAAGGCTCTGAGGATTAATCCTTTCAGAACAATGGAGTATCAGTGATCATTTGGAAAAGCAATTATGCCAAATTTAATTATCATGCACGTGCATTTCATTGGCATCACCATGCACACCCAGAGGATACTGGGGAAAGGACTGCCCCAGCACTGGCCCTTGATTGAGGAACATGGTGCAAAATTATACACGTTGTAATTGAGCATCGCTTAATATGCGGCTTGATGGATACAGAGATTGTGGGTGGAGTGAATGGGAGGGGCGTTCGGCCCACTTAGCAGATGTGTGAGATATTTGGAAAGGCTTTTCAATGTTTGCAACATATTGAAGAGGAGCAAACCACATTTCAAGTAGGCTGATAAAAATGTTTCTCTATCTTAAGCATTTCTTTTGTTCTCTGTTCTTTTGGTATCCTTACCTCTTCCCAATGGCAGAATTCAGTTTGCAGCACTCAAGAGAGCAGCTGAATGGGATTTTGTGAGTGTGTGCATGTGTTTCGGGGAGCATGGGGGTGGCAGGGGCAGGGTCTGGTGGACAGGTGGACCATGGCACTGTGGATTCAAAGGTTTTCAGAGTTTGTGATATAGGAGGCTGACCTACTGGGGAACCATGTCAGGTTTATCTGTCTCCTGGCCGCAGCCCAGCCTCCTCCCTTCGGCTGGCTAATGCTTTTCCTTCAGAGCTTCCTCCTTTCAGAGGACGTACCCTGATGACCCTGGGTTGGGTGCCATGCACTAACTTGCACAGCACAACATCATTGATAATTTATGTGCCTATTACCTCTGTACACTGCAGTCACCCCCTGGAGAGCAGTGACCATGTCCTTTACTGAGCATTGGCTCCCCAGCCCCCCTGCACAGCACCTGCATAAAAAGGACTCAGTAAATATTTGTTTGATGAATGATCAAAAATTGGTAACAACAGGAGTCAATGCTTCCTCTCTATACCCCTAACTGTGCTAAAGCCTAAACAAACTGCCCTCAAAGCTGCTATCTTTAGTTTGGGGGTGTGATCTATAATACTCTGAAGATAAAACCGTCAGTGTTTGAAACATGAATCCTCCACTAGTTTTGTGATCTGGAGCTAGGGAGTTGGCTTCTCTGGGGCGCAATGAGGAGTGTAAAACTGGCCACAGGCATCTCTGAGAGAACAAACTGAAATAGCATATGGCAGGTGCCTGGCGGGTGGCAGGTCCTTCCTGAGATACCCATGAAAAGTTACTTTTCATTTGTTTAGTTGAGCTTGGAGTTTCTTTATCTTTTGAAGAGTTGGCCAATAATTTATTAAGGATCCAAAAGCCAGGACCTAGACCTTCAAGTTAGAGGTGTTATTATTGGATTGTTAGTGCTGTGGGGCTGAAGCCTCTTCGCATGGGCATGAGTGAACGGGGGCAAATGTGCCTGGGTTTCGGCTGAGAACCTCACTGCCACAGGTGGAATTCAATGGCCCTGCTGGGGTTTGGTATCCAGAAGACACATCTTTCCCTGACTGGGGCCCGTGACCCCCAAATCACTGCAGCCAAGAATGGCTATTGCACAGAAAATCCAGGAGTAACTCCTACCTTATGGCGCTCTTAGGAGAGATAAATAGGCACACGGGGAGGCTGTGCTTGAGAAACATGGAGAGTGTTGTTAACATATGCTTACTGTTGACCTCTGTCTCACTAGCTAATACAACCAGTGTGAACAGCCTCAATTGCTTTTACAAGATGTGGGCAGGCTTAAAGATAAAGGGGTGCAAGGTGCCTATGACTTCTGCTGACTTAATTTGGTTTTTTAGGTGGCAAACCCCAAACTGACAAAGTGGCTGGTGTGTCAGGCAGAGTATTAAGCATATTATCTCATATATCGGGTTGTCAGGAAAGTCATGACGTATTTTTTCTGTTTTTCATTGCAAAAATGTGTCATGACTTTTCCAACAACCTGATAATTTTATTGGATTCTCCCCAAAACGTGAGAAATAGGTGGTACTGTCTCCATTTATAGCTGAGTTGCCCAAATCATGTAATTCACAATAATAATTCTGTCTGAAATCTATTACGTGGGCATTTAATAAAGTTGAATCATATGAAATTGCCATCTGTATAGGCCAAAAACAGGTAAAGGTTAGTACTAGCCATGGTTTTCATGTGTGTCTGAATGAACTTAAGTCAGACAGAGCTGTTTGACTCCAAGCTTCCTATTGTGACACTGCCTTCCAAAGAGGTAAGCTACAGTGCTACTGACAAAAAAAAAAATGGATGTCAGGATGCTGTTCTATATGTTCGTAACAACAATAGTGGTTACTATCGAGGGCCCCACTGAGATGGCTTGGGTCTGGGGACTGGAGGAAGGGGTGGTGCTCTGGGCAAGGGAGCAATTCCAAAGGCGCTGTGCTTTGGGGACCGTGTCTTTTTTGCACTAATTCTTTCCCCGGCATGGCAGGGTGTCCTCAGAGGTGGAAGACACTTTTGCTGAATGAAGTTTAAAATGTCATCACTAATTAGCTAGGATTGCAGGCTGGGGCAATGCAACCCCAGGCTTGGGAATTTCACTTTCTAGACATAGAATTGAAGGGAAAATACACTTTCCAAACTCATTTTGAAAATAGTTTCCCTTGGAAATTAAAACCATTAAGTGTACATCATTATGCAGATCAGTATTCATGCTTCAAAGACACATAATTTTGCCTTCACTTAATTTGTTTCTTCAAGACCTAATTATGGATTGGGTAAAAAATTGTTATTTTTCTATCACTGTGCAAATCGCCTTTTACCACCCAGGAGAACAGTTCTTTCTGGTTACCAAATGTTTCCATGTAGTGATTAGTCAAGGAAAAGTCAGGGAGTCGTATCTCAAGAGGGAGTTGGTGCTTCATGAAGATGAAGAAATACAAATGCACCCTTCTCGGTAAGACAGAGTGGTGGGGACTGGCTTGGGTGGGGCTGCAAGTTGTCCCCCAAACGGAAGCATTCAGCTGCCTGACCTGGCCCTGGGGGTGTAAGGAGGTTACGTTGGTCCAGGAGCCAGCAGCAAGGCCCACCAGACTGGGCTGCCTAGCAGTGAGCACCAGGGTGGCAGAGGGACTGACATTCAGGGTCTAGGCAGAAGACAGTGCCTCTGTAGAAGTCACTTTGCTTTGTGGGAAGTGCTGATGCTAGTGACTTGATCCATGAAAAGATCCAGAGATTGGAGTTGGCTCTGATTAGGATTAAAATAAACACTTCTGTCATGCTTACTATGTGCTAGGCACTTTAGTGTGGTGAAAGTGTTTTAAACGCTTTACAAACATCCACTCATCTAATCCCTACAACAATTTTAGAGGCAAGTGCTATTATTATCTACATTTTATAAATGAGGACTTTGAGGCTCATCGAGGTTTAGTAGCTTGTCCCAGATCACATTGTTAATGAGTGGTGGGACTCTGGCTGGACTCTCTAGCTTTGACCACTGCACTATCCTACTTCTCATTATGAGTAGGTCACTCACAACTCAACAAGTACTATAGATTCACGAATACATTTAATCCTCTCAATACCTTATGAGGGATATGGAACTGTAGTGAGCTATTATTCTGGGCCCTCAATACCTTCAGATATTACACCCTTTTTTAGTCCATTCCCCCCCTCCCCCATTGAACCTGGGCTGCCTTGTGACCTGCTTTAATCAATAGAATGTGGCAGAACTGACACTGTGACAGTTCTGGACCTCAACCTTCAGACACCTGGCAGCCTTCACTTTGCATTCTGGAGAAAGCCAGCTGCCATATAAGAAGCCTGACCACCCCAAGGCCCTCAAGCTCAGAAGTGAGGAGAAGCTATGTGGAGGGGAGCTGAAGGTCCAGCCCTCAGAACCGCTGAGCTCCCAGGCCATAGCCCCACCACCTTGCCAGCCGTGTGAGTGAAGCCATCTTGGAAGTAGATCCTGTGGCCCCATTGATCCTCCCTGATTGATGCTGCATAGAGCAAAGACGAGCTGCTGCTGAACTCTGCCCAAATTTCAAAAGCATGAGACAATAAATAAAATGAATGAAAATGATGTCTCTCTGAAGCCACTACATTTCTCAATTGTTTGATAATGCAGCGAAAGATAATTGAAACAGCTATTACAGATGAAAAATCCAAAGTAAAAAGAGGCTATGGATCTAGCCCAAAATGATACAGCTGGGAAGTGGCAGATGCAGAAACTAAATCAAGGAATGTGAGTGCAGAGATGCACTCTAACCACTGTCCTCTAGTCCCTCTGCAGGTGATCTGCAAGGATGTCCTCAGTGCCCAGGAGGGTCAGCTTATGTGAGGCTGTGCCGGGGGTTCCGAGATACATGTACCCAGAGCCCTGCTCACCGGCCTTCTGGGTCTGTTTGACACTTACATTTCCCCTTTAGACTACTTCCCAGCTAGGGGCATGCTGCAGGCTTTACTGAACTCCAAGGATGTTCCAGATACATTTTTTTAGCAGCTTTATCATGTAATCTTAAAGCAGGTAATGTGATTGTCCCCACCTTACAGGTAGGAAAACTGAGGCTTAGAGATTTAAGTACATTGCTTAGATTCACAAGCATGTTTGGAATGCAGCTAGAACTTGAACCTGGTTCAGCTCAACCTCAATACCCAATACATGGCCCAGCTTTGCCTCCTGCACCCACACTTCAGGGTCCCCATGCAGGCTCGGTCATCCTGTTCCAGCTGGTGCTGAAATCCATCCAAATTCAGCTCCTTCACAGCGTTCCCCCAACAACATGGTCAGCTACTCCCTGGGGATGCTCTGAAAGTTTGTAAGACCACCCGGACCTGGTACCCCCTCCTCGTCTCTCCTGATCAAAACCCATTTTGCCTGTTTCTGTGCATGCCAAACCCCACAGAAGAT